CCGGGAGCGGCTGGTCCCGCCTCAGGCTGGGTAGAGGAGCGGTAGAAGGTGGCAGCCCTGTGGGGAAGAGGCTCTTGTGTTGCAGAGATTTGTGTCTTTCTGAGCTGAAGTCAAAACACCGCGTCAAGTGCGAATCGCTGCGGCCTCTGGAGCCGCAGAGGCCGCAGGGCCTGCAGTCGGGGGAGCCCTCTGCCCTGCACACTTTCCCACGGCCTCTGCCACCCCAGGAACCGAGATGGCAACTCTTCAAAGTGGAGTTTCTGGAAAACGGCAAATTCAGACTCCACTGGGGCAGCTTTGGGCCACAGAGAATGAAAGGATTCGCTTCCTGTTTGGCAGGAGACTCCGACTTCTGAGGGAAGGAATATGAGGAAAAAAACGCCGGGAAGCTGCTGGGTTTGGGTAAAGGGTCGCCCTGCCCTTCTCCAGGTGGGGTGCTGTAGGATCCTGTTAGCAAGCCTTCCTGTGAATTGCTCCCTCCAGCTCCCCACAGCCCTTGAGCAGCAGGTCGCCCCAGCTCCAGACCAGACGCCCAGTGCGCCGACTCCCCTTTTCTGTGGCCCTTGGGAGGCAACTACTCCACCTCTCACCTGAATCTCATCACCTTGGCCATCTAGAGTGATCTGTTGTCAAAGCTGAACCCAACCAGGGCCCCTGGTCAGTCAGGCAGAACGGTCTATGCAAATCCGGGGCTGGGGAACAGTGCCCCTTTGTCCTGGCCTTTCAAAGCCCAGCAGCTGCAGGACTTGTGCCTCGGACCCTGGGCTGCCACAGCAGTGTCATCATGGCAGAACGTCAGAGTCTGAAAACTACATGGTCTGAATTCATGAGCAGCCTTCTCTTGAAAGTTCCTCTTTCAGTCCAGACTGGCCATGCGTGCCGTGGAGGCAGGAGAGCTGGCCCACAACCTGTAGTGAGGGGAGAGGCCCTCACAGGATCCCCAACTTTCCCAACTGTGCACTGGGTCCTGCGCTTGATGCCTGACTCTGTGACGCAAAATGTCTCCCCAACCCTGCCTGGTGCAGCTTTCTAGTCGAATTTCAGAGACAGCAAGCAGCCGAGATATCCAGCTCTGGGAATGAACAAAGCCTGTCCTCTGCTTTCTCCAGAGCGCCAGGAAGGGTTTGGAAGTTACTTTGATCAGAGTAAACTTCAGGCATGAGCGCTTGGGGTCCCTGTGTCGAAGTTGAGATCGCCTGCACTCCCTCTGTGTCACCGGGTCCCGTGATGCTCCCCCTTCCTGAGTGACCTCTCCCCTGGGGCATGGGGACCCGTAAATGAGACTGAACTGTCACCAGTGCTGCCTGGCCAGCGTGCACCTGTCCAGGGAGGGGACTCCCACATTCCTGGAGGCCCAGGGCCTGAGCTTGGCCGTGTCCTTCTCCAGCTCCCTCGAGCTCTGGCCCCTAACCTCTGAAGGTGTCCCTTTGTTTCTCTGCAGGATCTGTGTCCCAGGCCCTCTGCCTGCTGCCTCTCACCCCGGTAAATGTTCGCAGGAAAGTGGCCAACTGGAGACACCTCTAGGGCACTTTCCAGTGAGAGTTGAGGACCCAGGGGCCTGGGGAGCACCCGAGGCAGGCATGCTGCTTCTCCCCACCCTCAGGGGTGAGGCCGCTGCACCTCAGGCCTCTCACTCTCCCGTGTGCCCCGGTTCTTCCCCAAGTGCCTAGTGCCCTCCCCGTGTGCTTCCCCCCCCCACACCAGATGATTTCTCATTTTTTTTCTTTATCCCTTCCCACCCTCCTTTTCATTTTCTTCTTTTGCAGTGTTGGTGATTGAAACCAAGGTCATTGCACTGAACTACCTCCTCAGCCCCTTTTATTTTTTATTTGGAGAGAGTCTTGCCAAGTTTCCCAGGCTAAATTTGAGCGTGTGATCCTCCTGCCTCAGCCTGCTGGAGTGCCAGGTTTACAGCCAAGCATCACCACATTTGCCTGTTTGACAAACTGAGGGGCTAAGGTTCAGAGGGGACTGCAACCAACTTTGTAGTTTCAACACGGAAGGCTGGGAAGCAAACAGGAAAGGTCACATGAGGCGTGGTGTGTTGGGTTGGGAGGGTGCTGGTATGGGTCTCCTAACTGTCAACACTTTTGGGGATCACACTGGGATTTTGTTTCCTCTCTGGGGAGTTGTGCAGTGTGGACCTCTGAGCTCGGCTCCTGGGGTCTCTGCACCTTGGAGAGTTCTGCCCAAGGCTGCACCCCTGGAGACTAGAGTCTGGGCTGTGAGCAAGTGGGCTGCCAGATGGCTTGAGCCGCGTGGAGACAGAGGCTGTGACAGCTTGGGTCGCTGATGTCGGTCCAGCCTGCAGACCACGCGTGGTTATGGTGGCCTTCAGAACACAGGTGCTGGAACAGCCAAGAAGTCCCAGGCAGGTGGGGCTGTGCCCAGGGTGGCCTCATCCCTGTACATAGGTGCCCAGAGCTGCTGACCTCCGGGTGTGTGCTTCTCACACACACTCACACTCCCCAGCATCGCTTCTCTGGCATGGTCTCAGGACTATGCGTGTCACACACATACACACACACACACACACACACACACACTCACATGCGGGTGCCCGTGCTGTCTTTCCATTCCCCCTTGGTCTGCACAGAGACAGGCTAGATGGATTCCGGGAGGTGGCACCTGACTCCCAGGGCAGGGAGACCACAAAGCCAGCGAGAGCCCCACTCACCGAGGCCCTGACACATGTACCACTCAGCCCAGTCTGCGCCTCCTCCTGCCCTGGGGCATTGATGCATGGCCCAGTCCGCAGTGCTTCCCGGTCTGGGTGGCTCTGCTTTGTGATTCTTCCGTGGCCGCCCTTGGACGCTCCTGGACCTGCGCTGCCCGGAAAGGTGGACGCCAGCAGGGCTTCGTGCACAGAGATGTGCTGAGTGTTGTCCACACCAACTTTGAAGGTGCCGATGGGAAATGCCTGGGCAGCTCCCCATTCCTCATTGAGAGCTGGTTACAGTTGCAGTGTGTGTATTTTGGATATACTGAGTCTAATAAAATATATTCTTGAAACCAATTGTCCCTGGTCACTTTTACTTTTTTATAAAAGTAGCTGTGGAAAGATTCAAACTGACCTGTTTGGCTGCCACATGGGCTGTGTGGCGCTGCCCTTGGGCAGCCACAGACCTCGTGATCCTTTGGGAACAGGGAGAGAAGGTGGGTCCCAGTCCAGCAGAGGTGGGCAGAGGTCTTGCCCTGGTGCTGGCCGTCCCAGCGGGGGATCATTCCCAAGCTGCTTTCCTTTTGTGGGGATTCTGCGTGGGTGTTACACCTCAAATTGGTTGCTTGGTTGTTCTCTTTCTGTTCCGACTTTAAAGCCCCCAACCACTGCAGTGTGGGCTGGGTTGGCGATCGCAGGTACACTTGCCAGCAGCCTCTGAAGATTCTTGCTGCACACGCCGGGCAAGGCCAGGGTGGGACCAAGCCAGACGCTACCCGGCCACAAAGCAGAGACAGACCCTTCCCGGTTATTGTCACATTTCAGGCCAGTGCTCTGGGACTTTCCTGCTTTAACTTTTGGGTGTAAAGATGTCACCACACCCAACACCACAGCTCAGACAACAAGACAAAAACCAGGGGCAAAGTGTGCATCCGGAGAGAGGCTTCGGACTGACAAAGCTGCGAACGTGGGCCACTGCACTTGGGCCGTGAGGTTACAGGAAGACGCATCTATAGTTTCTGTTTTCGGTCCTGGGAGCCCAGGCACTCTCCTAGTAGATACATTCACAGCCTTCTTTAAAGCTGGTACTGGGTCTCGCTAAATTACCCCAATTGGCCTGATCTTGCAATCCTCCTGTCTCAGCCTCCCCAGTAGCTTGAATTACAGGCATGTGCCACCTCTCCTGGCTTGTAAACTTTTTATTTTAAAAAGTATTTTAAAATACTCTGCATAACATTTTAGACATGAGATTTCTGGGCGTGAAGCTATAAGAATCAGCAATTGTATTTTGTCTTTTGCTGATAGCAAATAAGAAAAGATTGCTCCAAGCTTATGGCTGTGAACAAACTGACACGTAAGCGCCATGCAGTCACTCGCTTGGCACACTCGACAGGCTTGTGGCGTATTTACTCGGAGGGTTCTGCGATTTTGTTATTTTTGAGAGAAGGTCTCACTATATAACCCAGGCTGGC